CTGAGAAATTATCTGGAAGAATTTATACTGTTGAATTTGACAATCAAAATTTGTTAAAAAGTTATGATAGGTTAGCAGATGGAGTATCTCTCCAGGATGGCAATCTGCACACTATCCAAGTAATGTCCAAGGATGAGATGTTAGCTTTAAAGGAGAAACTTCAGACCTTGGGATCACATGTGCAGACTGAGGACCAGAGGCTAGGTGCCTCAGTGAAATCACTAGAAATATATACAGGCCAGGAAATTCAAACTTTACAAAAGACAATAGTAAAAAAAATTGAAATGAATGAGGAAATTTTTGGAGCTGATGAACAGGGAAAGAAGGCACAAGGACAGCTTTTTCCTGGCAGGACCTCTTAAAAAAGCTGCAAGGTTTTACAGCTAAAGCTGAGTCAGGAAGCCTCTCTTAGATGAGAGTGCTTGCTTGCCTCTAGCAAGCAGAGCAGACCCTGGATGTTTGAATGCTGACAGATGGAAAAATAATTATCCACTAAGGATTATCTAGAAAAAGGAATATGATTTATGAGGTCAGGTAACAGATACAATGCATTAAAAACATATATATTTATGGATATATAGAGAGCTGGTTTTGGAGTTGGACAATGGCTCTGTCCTTCTCTACATCTAAGCATGTTGTTAAGAGAAAAATTCAGAGTTTCTGTCTCATGTCAAAAGCCATCTTGTATGGGACAGAAAGAAGAAAGAATTTAGAAAAAAATACTTTTCTTCATACCTATTTTTGTCTCTATCATACCTTTCATTGAATATGTCTGCATAAAAAATGTTTAAGTTTTCCACAATGAATTTTCCTGCAGTTATCTTTGAAGTTTCCAGGAAGAAGATGGGGTCCCACAATAACAACTACACCTGGTTGATATGATGTCATGATGCTGATAGCGTTACTATAAAACCTGTTTTGGGTACCATCTGCTCAAGATGGTTCCAAATTGATTAGCTGAAATGGTGTACTTTTTTTTTACAATGTTCTGGCCAGAACTCCAAATAGGAACCTCAGAAAAACCCTACCAAATACTCAGAGAATATTTTCAATTTATATCAGATAGTAATCTTGGAACTTAACCATCATTTTACTTTCACAGAATTCCATAGAAGGAACATCACCCACATGACATCTGGGAGTCATTCTAGAAGATAACCATCCCCTCTTCCAACAAAGTTGGTCCTCAGGGTTAGGGACATCATTTAATGGTTGATTATAATTGGTATAGGGTTGGGGATTAGGAGGCAAATTCTGTAGGCTCAGGAATCTCTTTAAAAAAAGAGAAAATTGGATGGGATGATTGATAATAATAATAATAATAATGAGTAATAGAGTAAATACTTGTGAACTATTATTTATAGGCAATTTATATTGATATAGATTTTTGTATATTGATACAAACTTAAATTATATTTGAAGAATTGCAGTCAAAGAATCTAGTGTGGTCTGTGAACTTATTGGGTATTTGATAGATTCTGGTGCTCTGGAAAGACACAAATGTGTCCATCTGTGTTTTAGGTATGACACGCTCATGATGGTTACCTGTAAGCTTTGTTATAGCTGTTGTTCGTCATGCTGGGAAAGCCCTTCCTCCCTAAGTTGTTGAGAGATGGCATGAATGAGTGAGTACCAGATTTGCTTTCCTGGACTGCAGGTTATTTGGTCATTCTCTGTAATTCATTTTTTATACACTTTGTACTCAATTTGTTAATATTTTGTTGAAATTTTTTTTGCATTGGTGATCAAAATTCTTTTATGTGTAAGATAGTCTAGTTCTGATACAGAGTAATATTGGCCTCATAGGATTATTTAGAAAGTATTCTTTCTCCTAAATTTAAAAAGGAGATCATAGAAAATTGGTACAGTTTTCTGGTTCTGGAAACAATAAGGACAGGACATTTTCTGTCTTGGAAGATTATACATTGTTCAGTGTTTTTAAATTATACTGTTTATTTTTTAAAAGATAGAAGCACATCAAAATTGTCTATTTATTCTTGTCTCAGTTTTACAGTGTTGTTTGAGTAGTTAGATCATTGAAACTCAATTCTAAAATTTGTGGACAAAGTTGCTAATTATATTGTTATTACTCTTTTAATGTCCATGTGATCTATAGTGATGCCTCATTTTTCTTTTCTGATACTATCATTTGTGCTTTGTTTAGATGGCTAAGTTTTCATTCATTTTATTGATTTTTTTCTCCCCCCAAACCAATTTTCAGCTTAATTGATTCCCCCCAATTGATGTCCTAGTATCAGTTTTATTGATTTCTACTTGTTTTGGATTTGTTTATTTTTCTAGTTCCTTATGACAGAGACTGAAAGTGTCGATTCACAAACATTCCACATGTGAATTCACTGCTCTATTTTTCCTTCCTAGCCCTGCACTCCTCCTCACACACACATAGCTAAGTTGGGTTTTCATCTCATAAAATTCTGTTATGATTTCTTCTCTAATTTGTTATTTTGAAATATTACTGTTTGTTAGGTAATGTTCAATAGATTTTGATCTGGCTCCCATCCTGCATAGTGACCCTAAGAGTTCCACAGGGAAACTCCTACAGCTGACAAACACTTAGCAAAGTAGCTGGATACAAAATTAAGTCATAAAAATCAGTAGTTCACATGTATACAAATGACAAATGAACTGAGAAAGAAATCTTGAAATAACACCTTTCAAAATAGCTTCAAATAATATGAAATAACTTGGGATACGTCTACCAAGCAATTAAAGACTTGTATGATAAAAACTTTGAGACATAAGAAAGAAAGAAAGAAAGAAAGATAAGAAAGAAAGAAAAGAAGGAAGGAAGAGAAAGGAAGGAAAGAAGGAAGGAAGGAATTTAAAAAGACTTCAGAAGATGGAGAGATCTCCCATGCTCAAAAATCAGTTGTATAGTAAAAATGTAATATAGTAATACAGTAAAACTGGCCATCCCACCAAAAGCAATCTACAGATTCTGGCAATCCTCATCAACAATAGACAGAACCTCATGAAACTGAGAAGCTCCTGCACAGCAAAGGATACTGTCATTCAGACAAAGTGGCAGCCTACAGAATGGGAAAAGGTTTTTTTTTTTTTCAAACTACACATCAGATATAGGACTAATATCCAAAATATATAAAGAACTCAAATAACTAGGAATTGACCAATTCTCAAAAGAGGAAACTCAATTGTGGTGGAACACTAAAAGAAATGTTCAACACAATCTGTAGCCATCAGGGAAATACAAATCAAAACTACTTTGAGACTTTATCTTACATCCATAGATGGATAAGATAAATAAAACAGGGGACAGCTCATGTTGGAAAGGATGTGGAGTAAGGGGAACATTCATCCATTGGTGGTGGGAGTACAAACCTGTACAGCAACTACAGTGTGGAAACCAGTGTGGCAGTTCTTCATGAAGATGGGCATGAAGATGGGGATCCATCTACCTCAAGATCCAACTATACAACACTTGGGCACAACCCAAAGGTTGCTTCATCCTACCACAAAGACACGTGTTCAACCATCTTCATTGCTACTCTATTCATATTAGCTAGAAATTGGAAACAAATTAAATGTCTCTCAACAGAAGAATGGATAGAAAACATTTACACAATGGTATATTTACTCAGCCATTAAAAAAGTAAAATTCAAAGGTAAATGGATAACACTAGGAAAAAAAATATTGTGACCCAGAAAGAGAAATATGGTATGTATTCACTTATATGTGGATATTAGTTCTTAAGTCAATAATAACCAAGCTATAATCCATAGAACTGAAAAAGTTTGGTAAAGAATGGGGGGTGGTCAGCAGCTAGATCTCATTAGGAAAGGGAAATAGAGAATAACTAAGGATGGATGGGAAATGGAATGGGAAGAACAGGTGGGGAAGGGAGATGGGGAAATGAGGGAGAAAATATGGGGGAAAGACAGATAAAATTAAGGACCATTTGAGGGGTTGTATGGAAACCTAAGACAGTAGAAGCTTCCTAAAATATAGACATATGTGAAGGCAACCTAAATGAAGTCATCAAACAACAGCTATCTCTTGTCACCAAGGAAGCGACCAATAGCAGAACTGAGTTACTTCTAATTGAGCTGTTGGACAAAGGGGTCCCCCAAACACTGCAGGATATTGCCACGACTAGGTTGCTCTCCATAAACTGACACCAAGGTCCCATTGTTAAAGCCGACACCTACACAACTCACTGAACATGGAGAGGTTGAGAGTGAGAGACCTTGGAATACTCAGCCCTAACCAGGATGTCTCCAGCAAATCCCTCCCCTCGGGGATCAGGGAACCCTGCAGAAGAGGAGGCAGAAAGTGCGTAAGAGCCAGAAGGGATGGAGGACACCAAGAAAGCAAGGCCTTCTAAATCAACAAGACCAAAGATCACAGGAACTCAGAGAGGCTGGAGCAGCCTGCACAGGACCTGAAAGGGTCTGCACCAGGTCCTATATATATATGTGTGTGTGTGTGTGTGTGTGTGTGTGTGTGTGTGTGTATGTATATATATATCTGCACCAGGTCCTTTATATATATATATATGTGTGTGTGTGTGTGTGTGTATATATATATACATATATATATATGTATATATATATACATATATTATGGCTGCTAGTCTAGTGCTTACGTGGGATTCCCCAGTGTGCAAATGAGGTCTCGGTTTCTTGTGCCTTCTCTTGGGCTCTTTTTCTTCTGTCTATTTGTTTTGTCCAATTCCAATGTCAGTTTTTGTTTTATCTCACTATACTATATTTTATTTAAAATAAATAAATAATAATAATTAATCTCTTGGAAACACCCTGCTCTAGCGGTCATGCTGCTGAGGTAACAAGTCCTTCATGAACCTCATGAGACAGGAACAAGTCTCTGGGCTGTTAGGACAGTGATTGCTTCACCTCACACTGTTGAGTAAAGGTCAGAGAGGGAAGACATCCCAGCACAAACCAGAAGCTTCTCGAACAATAGAAATAGCACTGATGAGAACCACACATTGCCAAACACTGATTGAGAATGATTTATTAAGGTCCAATTAGTATGCTTTTCAATTCAAATAGCCCTTATCACCCCATCAATAAAACTCCAAATTCATTTCACTCATTTTCAGTATAAATTGTCTGCACATTGTGTAAACACTGAACAAATCTTTTTCCTGCTAACTGGCTCTCCACCTACGTAAAACAAACAAACAAGCGCACTTTATGTGCCTTCCCTCTGTGCAGACGAAGTCCACCCTCCATCTTCCTCCTCCCTAGAATGCCATTCTCTCCAGGACTTCTTTCTCTCAAACATCCTCCTGACCTTTCCACACCTGCTTCAGGGCTGTATTTCTTCCTTGTTGCTTCTTATAGTGCACCAGCAGAACCACTATTCACTCAGACAATGTACCAGGCCTCTCTGCACACAAGCATCTACTGGGCGATTGTAGAGACCACACAGCAGCCAGTTGCCAACATAGCCCACCCAGGCTACTTGATACAGCAATGCTGGACTCACTTCTAACGTTTGATTTCTTTTTGTTTTCTTCAATGCTACATGACAGCCTTGGCTGCCAAGAATGGGAATCACCATTTCCTCAAAAAACGAAACTGAAATTGCTAGTTACATTAGGGCATATTGGTTATTGGGAAACTTCTTGTTAAGAAGTCATTCTCGACTAGAGCAACCACTGTGTTTCTTGTGTAAAAAGGTAATTTGGGGGGCATTTAGCACTGCCATCTCTGCAGTTTGGAAGTAGAATGTCCCTTTTCTAGACTGAAAGCACATGAGGACAATTCACATTCTAAAAAGTAGGTCCTTCATGGGAACAGTTCCTAAGTAAATAATCAATGATACTGGCAAAGATTTATGTACACAAGATTCTTCCAATATTATAACAATAAAAATTAAAAAAAAACCTAGTCAACAATACAGGAATGGTTAAATAAACTGAGCTGCATCCATTAAATGGAATATTATATAGCCACTAACACTGTTTTTGTAAAAAAAAAAAATTAATGCCATAGGAAAACCTGGCAATTCTAAAAGAAAAAGTTACAAAACATTTTACAATATCATCCCAATTATATCAAAAGTATATAATATATGTCTGTAGGCATACATGCAAGAGTTGGTAAAGACGGTTACTTCCAGGTTATACTATCAACAATCTTTCTTTTTTATTCTTTTTCACACAGTTCTGCAATTTTCAAGTTTTCTATAGTAAGTATGCGTTATTTTATAACTTGGAAAACCACAGGCTTTAGAAAAAAAATTCCACGACTGTCCTGGCTCTAAGAATGCACGTGGGGATCTTAACTATGCAGGGACAACGCTAGTGCACTTCATCTTCTCCTGGTTTTAGAGCACACGCTCTTTGGGTGGAAAACACACAGTCCCTGCTTTGCATGTGTGCTCCAATACCTTCATTGTTAGGTACACTGGTGGGGATGTTACTGTCTCTTCCCTAGCCTAACCGAATACTGAGTTTTACTAGATTGTTCTATCCCCTAGGAGATTTAAAATAGTATCCTTTTATATTTAAAGAAAACATACTGTATACACACGCCACATGCTTGCTTCCTAAACAAACACAAAAATCATTCCAATGTACAGTTTTCCTCCATAGTGGAAAAAAAATTCTCCTATGTCAATTTAACAGTCTTTTCCATCACAAACATGCTGACAGGAATAAACACACTTATTAGATGAAATCTATCCTCCAGACTTTTTTTGTTTTGCTTTGTTTTATATTTTAAAGGGGAAGCCTGTATGAAGTTGTGCAACTTGATTTAGCAGATTTTTTTTTTCTGTTAGGCCAAACCACATAAAATCTTTTAAGTCTAGTTAGTGAAGGCTACATGGCACCCCAGAGTCCATTTCTGAATTCCACTGCCAGACAAACACTTTCTATTTTCCAAAGGAGAAGATGGGGCTGCCACATAGGTTCATCTTCAGGCTATGTCAAGTCTCTTGGGTCTCTGGACAAATACTGCCGTTGGTTAGTGTTTAAGTATGGGAGTGTCTTCCTGTCCTCTGGCTCCCCACCTTGCCCTGGCAATGGGGTGGGGGTGGGGGTTCACAGCTTCACAGAGGTTGGCTAGCTTCCTTCTAAACCACAGAGTGGTCATTGCTGTGAACTCCAGCCAGAATGGTGTGGTTGAGGGAGGAGGCTGAGCGGTCAGAGCCTTCTGTGGGGCCATTGGGATTCTCATTGCGCTGGCAACACAGGATCTGCCTGAAGGTGGCACTCATCTCTTTGTCGCGGTACGAGTAGATGATGGGGTTCATGGCAGAGTTGAACTCGGCGAGGAGGAGGAAGAACTTCTCATAGGCCAGGACGTCGCACTGCGGGCAACACACGTCCAGCAGTAACAAGACCAGTCCCGGAGTCCAGCAGACAATAAAGGCACCTATGGTAACCGGAGAGGGATCATGTATTAGAAGGAGAATAACGAATATCATTGTGAAATGTACATAACCAAAAAGTGATATGACCTCAGGTCTGTGTGGCAAGCCATAAGACCAGAGCCATCAATCGTGGAGACAAAAGAAATGTCTGCTTCTGAAACACAAGAAATAATCACTTTAATGATATGCTATTGATTCAAGTCCCACTTACTGGGATGAGGATGTATGACATATTAATTATTTTGAACAGAACACAGAGTTTGATAACAGTTGCTCCACAATAAAATGCATCAGGAATACACACTACTACGTAAGTTCTTAGAAAAAAAATTCTCCTAAAGACATGGTTGGGGTGGAGTGGGGTAAAAGCTAGACCTTAGTGACACAATGACTCCACAATTAGTAAAGGCGCAGCTTCTGCTGTCTGTCCTCCAGTGCATAAATCACTGCTTTCTTTGCCTTCTGGGGAACGAGGTGGTTTAAATTCTTGTCTCAAGTTTTCTCATCTGAAAAGCAGGCATGGTCTATTTACCTCTTGGGTTGGTTATAAACTGCAAATGGATGCAAAGAAAATACCCAGTGTACATTAACAACCCCAACCAACAACATCGCTTTTCCATGCTCTCTGGCATGTAAACAGCAGCTTCCGGCGGCGACGAATGCTTTAGTTTTTAACCCGACAATCAAAGTACTTGCATACACTTTACAAATGATAACTCATCTAATCTGCACCTACAGCAGGCAAAATTAACCCTCACTGTACAAACAGAGAAACTGAGACCGAGGAAGTTTAAATACCTTGCTTAAAAGACCACTACACTGGAAAGGGGGTGAGCAAGAGGCAAATCCCAGGTTCTCTCCTCCAGGAGCCTGGCTCTGGAGTCCACATTCCTGAGAGTACTACATTGTCCTTCCACTCCTAGGGAGTTCCAAAGCTAAGCATTTGTAACCAAACATTATACTTCAGCTGTTCTCTAACTTAGATCAATTCTCTGCTTTCTCCCCAACAACTACCCTGTATTATTAAGATCATTTCTATAATCACAGATGGTTTGGAAATTCAGATGGGAAAAGATGTCATCCTATCTTATTTAGTTCCTGAGATCACTTTCCATTTGAATCTGAGGGAATGTGTAAGTCACGAGATGATTAATTAGTCCTGATGACTATGTATCTTAGCATGTGCTGGGCGTCTTCTACTGAAGGGAGCCAGTGGAGCAGGGTGTGCCATTAGACCTCATCTAAGAGGCCCCATGTTGCATAGACAGCTATCTAGTGCACAGAGGCTGAGTCGGGAGAGCCCACGCATGCACTGGAATCTCGCTATCCATACAGATACACACGGTGGTGCTGGCCTTGGTGGATGTCAACTTAGGCGGGAGTACTCAGCTTGGATCAGTCTCAAGGAATGAGTTTCATAAAAAGTAAACAAATGCTATTTAGTTTCTAAACTGCCCAGCCTTGAATCTTGAATATGAGATTTCTTCCTTTTCTTTATCCCCCCGTCTCTTTCTTTTTACCTTTCATTCTCTCTTTTTTCCCCAAACCTTTTCAGCAGGGAAATACAAATAAAGCAGAAGAAAAGGCACCCATAAAGTTCTTTGTTCTGTAACACTAATGTGTATTGGTTTTAAACCGCTGTTCACTTTGAAGACCATCCAAGGTGCTTCCTTTTTCTTATAAATACAATACTCTCAGCTCTCCTCAGAGAGGGAAAATAATATTCCAAATCACAGCAGATAATAGCCAGACCACTCTCTGAACCTTGCTAAAAGTGTTAACAGAGCCTTCACTCCAAGTCGCTGAATTTCCTTTATTGAAAACCACTCAGAAAGCTAAACATGAAGGGAAATCAAAGGAATGCCTCTTGGGTTTCAGAAATAATGCCTTATTCATTGAGAAGCCAGGAAAGAAATTATTCTCAGGGTGGAAAATGCTTGGATGGAAAATGCACGGTCCCATTATTCATCTACTTGGAACACACACACGCACGCACGCACACACACACACACACGAATGGGTGTGCAATTCTAAAAGTTCCTTTCCCCTTTTCCTTTATCAAAGCTCTAGTTGAGCTCAAGTTAAGAACTTGACTGGCTACAAGCACAGGCAGATATATTTTAAATAAAACGACCTCTTATGCCCTGTTGGCAACAGAAAGGAAAAGCCCTTATTCTCATGCAGTTGCTCAGTCGGCTTGCCTTGAGCAGAAAAGAATCCAGATACAGTCATGGGTTGTTTATGATTTCTTCCAATGCTAAAATTCAAGAATAAAGTGGTCTTTTTTAGGAAAGAGGGAACTCTGGAAATGAGACTTTGGCCTTCATTTTTAGACAAAAAAAATGTGGGTGGTGGGTAGCACATGCCTTTAATTCAGAGGCAGACAGATCTCTGTGAGTTGGAGGCCAGCCTGATCTCCAGGACAGCCAAGGCTGACAGAGAAAGACCCTGTCTTCAAATAACAACAACAACAACAACAACAAAAAAAAACACCTGTTAGATTTGGCCACAACCTGACAGGAGCTAGCCCATGTGAACACTGTGTGAAGAAACTCAAGAGTCCTTTCCCTTCTCTGTCACTGGAAGGAACTGGTTTCAGAACTGTGATTAGGCCCAACCACACTGTCTCAGAATCGTCAAGACGCAATCAAATGTCTTAGTGATGAATATTTGACAGCCTCAGAAATCCACACTGAAACCCAATCACATGGACCTTTCCCTTCCTTCCTCTTTCCTTTCTCTTTCTCAGGTAGTCTTGAATCAAAGTGACACAGAGACAACAGTGTATAATAGGAGGGGAACAAGAGGCCTGGAAAAGTCCAAGATGATTGGGCTCCTAAATCATAGGGAATGCAGAGCCTAAAATCAAATTTGCTCGTTACAATTTCCCTCTGAGCTTCTAAGAATGAAAGCCTCATCCATTTTTTTCTTTTTAAAAATATGTAGTCAGCTCTAACTGAGTTGGGTCATACAACTATCTCTGTGTGTGCATGATGGACCATATCCAGTGTGCAGAGAATGGCTGTGCACACACATGCATCCGCATGTGTAGAGACGTGAGGATGAGCTGAACAAAAGCCCCATTTCATTATCTGTAAAGGAGAGAAGCAGCAGCTCTCTTCCTACCCCACGGGGCACGAGGAGCTCCCCAGTGCCACCAGGAGTGTCACAGATGAGAGAGCTTGTGCATGCAGCTCAGGCGTAGACCCTTGGCCCAAAAGAGCACGTGATAAGCGCCATGAAGATTTGGCATTTACAGAGCTACACAGATGGCCAGAGTGTCCCAGGACTCACAGTTAGGCATGAGAAAGAAACCAAGAAGGCAGAGAGAGAGAGAGAGAGAGAGAGAGAGAGAGAGAGAGAGGAAAACACAAGGAAGCAACTTAGCCTCAGATGGCTATGCAGCTTTTCAGCTCCCCGCTTCACAAGATAGAAATTAAAAATAATAAAAAATGCCAGCGGGAAGACTGCTTTTGGTGCTCTGTCTATTAATATTAATATGGCATATTTCTGATGGCAGATTCTCTACAGACCCAGGCACAAAACCAAAGAATGATATTCAACAGTACGAAAAAGAGGAAGCACAAATAGTTTGTGGTTACATACTACAAAGCCAGAAGTGGCAGAAGAGAAGATGTCCAAGGCCAGGAGAACCTTGTGTACTGGCTAAGATATTCATTTTCCAGCCTAGAGCTGGTTCTCAGCCCAAGTCTCATGTAATAATAATGGAAGGAGAGGCTTGTACGGAGTAATGACCGTCATTTTAATCTCACTGGCCTCAACCGTCAGAGGAAGAAGAAATGGCCAAGGTAAATAGAATGTGTGAGCATGCACACATGCACACATATATTTATATATGCTCAGTTATTTCTAGTTTCTACAATAGGAATAAGTAGAGCCCAAATCAGGGCAGCATTAAAGGGAACGAACTGTAGAAGCCTGGGAAAGGACTTATGAGGCTGTCCTCTCTCTGATGGTGAGAAAGATGGAGAGTCTAGGATGATATCTGGGGTTGTCAAACTAAATGAAGCATCATGGGTAGAGCCTTGTGCTAAGGAAGGAAGCATGAGGAAGTACTAACTTGGCATTTTGTTGGTGAGGGCGGGGAACAATAGCGGACAGCCTGGGTAGTCATGTTTGTTTTGTCTGAGGTGTCTGAAGGATATAAGATGGGGACAACTTCAAGTGACCCTGCTAGGTTCCTGGAAGACTGAGGCTGGGGAGCCTCTCAGGGTGCAGAAAGATACCCAGTTTATCTCAGTCATAAGGAAGATGGGACTAGGAGGCTATTCTTAACGTGTCTGAGGGCAGCAAGGTGCTGGAATGCTGGTACAAGAGGCAGGGAGGAAGGGAGCAGCTTTGGAATGACAGATCACAGCTGCAGGCCACAGTCATATAACTGTACCATCCCTCTGACTACACAGCCCCCCAGCGGCTCGATGCTACCACCACTCAGCCGCTTTCCTAGCCAGCTGATCTTTGCTTCTTTTCTTCCATATGGAGCACAAAAACCAAAGAAAAAACAGGCAGCAGGGGCCAGAGAAGACCCCTAGGATGAGAGCCCAAGATTCTGGATGAGCAAAGAAGAAAGCATTTCCAGTCTGGGCTGGAAAAATTGTGTTTTCACAAAAAAATTCAGCAATTTCACAGATTTGGAACTAGTCAAGGCAAATCAATTCTACACTACACCCAGGTTAGCCTCTCCATGTCCTGGTTCTTTTCATGTCTCTGGTGAAGATTTCAGAAACTTTTTTTTTTTTTCCATTAGTGCCATTGAATTTGTGTCTTCCCTCAGGGCAGGCCAGTTGTATCCCAGGACCCATTCAAATTTCAGTTCATCTCTTAAGGTGCTTTGTGAGTCTGCTGAAACAGTTCTCACCTAGCACATCTTAAAGGACTCTGTTAGGTGGCTGTTGTAGGATATTTTGATTGCAAGCTGACACTCCTGAGGTTGCCAATAAAGTTTACTTTGAATCAGAGGGCAGAGCTAGTTACTAGCTGA